TACTTTGTATGTTTTGATTCTATCCTAATGACCTCTGCCTGTTTATCTGAAACCCATGAGAGCTATGACACAATTTAATTAACCCTGTGGTTTCTCTCTTTGTGGGTTTGGACTAAGTTGAATGAGGGATTTCAATGGGGTTGCTGTTTCCTGCCTTATGATGGAAAACTAGCAGTTATTAAACAACACCCCTCACAAAGGAGGTATAGTCAGGTCAGATGAAGATTTAAGAAGGAAAAATAATTTTCTCATCCTCTTGAAAATTTTGCAAGGAAACATATAGGTGGAACCTGGTTTTCTAGCTGTGCTTTCTTAATGAAGTTCTAACTGTTAGAATGGCCAATAAAGATGGTGGTATAACTGAACTGCATAGTCAGAAGTGGGTGATAAATTAGGCTGCTCAGTCTGGGATCAGTTATCTCAGAGTAAAAAGATTGAAAATGGTCACACACTAATGTAAACAAATGCTAGCCTGGCTTTATGGTGAATTTTGTATCATCACTTTCCCTCCATCCAAATGTACATTTGGATAAAATTTAATTGAGTCCAAATTTCTGTTTCAAAACCTACTAGATAGTGAGTTTATTATATAATTCTTCACATCAGTTTGTCATCTGTAAAATGGAATGATTTATAGATACTGTACATGATCATTGTGAGAATTAAATAAGAAACTAATTTTAAATTTTTAAATACAGATTTAGCTCCTAGATGATTCTCTTCTAAAAATGTTGAATTTGATGATGATATTTTTATGGGAAAAATTCACATGTTGAAGCCCTAACACTTATGTATCAGTCGGTGCTTACTAGAGAAACAGATTTAATGCAAGATATACAAATATATAAGAATTTAGAAGATTGGCTTACAATGGGCACCCACAGAGTCAGGTGTGGAAGACAGCAAAAGGTCTGTCTGTGAGCTGGAGATTCAAAGAATCCAGTTTTAGACCTGGAGTTCAGTGTAGTGTTCCATGCATGGCTGAAGGTGGAAGGGTCTATACTGGAGGCTTAAGAGTCAGCACTAGAATCCAGGAGTTGTTGGTGAAGGTGAAGACTAGAGGTCCTCTGAAGAAACAGAAGTGAGCCTTTCTTCTTCATTTCCCTTTTAATCCATTCTGATTACAATCATCGCTAGGGTGGGTCTTCCATGCCCAGAACTATGCTGAGCCAATCTAGCTGGGTGTTTCTTACTCAATTTGACACAATCAGTTAACTATCACAACTTAGTACCTCAGCCAGTGATTATATTTGGAACCCTTAAAGAGGCAATTAAGTTAAAACAAGGCCATTAGGATAGTTTCTGGTATAATCTGATGGATTTTCTTATAAGATAAAGAACATTAGAAATGCAGAGACTCCATGGATATGACCTACAGAGAAAACACCATGCAAGACCACAGAGAGAGGATAACTTGACCACATGTAAGTCACTGAGAGGCCTCAGAAGACACCAAACCCACTGAATATTGACCTTGGACTTCAAGCCTCCAAACTGTTTGAGAAGCTTTTATTGCTTAAACCACTCAGTCTGTGCAATTTTGTTGTAACAACCCTGGAAAACTAATACATATATGTCAGTCTTTCAGAAAAAGCTACCCCTTCTCTCTTCTTGCTATTAGTTTCTACTTATTCTTTTACTTAATAATAGGGCAATGCTTAAAGAGCATGACTTTGGAAGTTAGCCTCAGATTTGAAGACTGCATTATCCACTCAAATAACCTGACATACATATTTTAAAGATTTCTGAGCTTCAAATTTCCTCATCTGTAAAATGGGAGCAACACCTATTTCAAATTAAAAGGGATGTATATAAAGTTCAGAGTACTCCAGTGTTTGGTATACAGGTGCTAATTAATTGTTAGAACTTTATATACAATGGACAATTTACATGCAGTTTTTCAGTCTGGTTTAGTTTTCTCTAAGCCTAGTCAATTTGTCAAATTTTTGTTTCTGTGAGAAGTGCCACGTATGTATGTATTAGCTACAATTATTTGATTTTTGGAGGGGGAGCATGGAAAATTGTATCAGCTTCATTGTCCACTTCATTCCAAGATCACAAGCACTTACGGTGAGTTGTAATGTATTTTCAACATATATCCTAAAAATCTTTCTTATGTATTAGAGTTTTAAAAATGATTTAATGATTTTGCTCCATCTACCAAGCTATTTTTCTTTCTTGCAATTCTTTATCTTTCTATTTTAGGAAGAAGTCATGACTTATACCCAAACTCTACCTAGGTAATTTCTCATTCTGCAGAATAAGCCATTCTGCAGTGTTGCAATAGAATGATTGAGGCTATTCATTATTATTAACTTATCCAACCTTAATGTTTCCCATATTCTTTATAAGATATATTTTATGGTCTGGCCTCATTCCTGCTACAAAATAGTTTATAAATGGTTTAACTAAATTGGAGTGGAATTTGCTTCTACAAAGAATTCATTATGAGTCTCTCATCCAGTAAGATTTTTAGGTTACAACTATACTGTTCCCCCCACATACAATGTACTCTGCTTCTTGCTCATTTCTATCCTTTGCTTATAGTTTGTGAATAGGCATCACAATATTTTTTAGCTTTAGGATCTCTCTCTTTCACTGATTTCCAGTATGTTAAGATTTTTACTTGCTATCATTTATCCAAATTAATATTTCCTGGACACTTAGTATGTGCTATCTACTGTGGAGAAACTTATTTAAAATGGTGCCAAAGGGTCCACATTCTAAAATTTCTAATTATATTTTATTTTTAAGGATTCTAATTTTTGAAACATATATTCTATGCATTTTTTCTTCTACTCATATCTATTTAAAGGGACATCTACTGTATTATATCATAACTGAAGCAGGCTGTTGAATTCTCTCCATAGTCTTAGTCTTTGGCAATCTTTTTTGTGTACTTTTCCAGTTGTCCTTCAATTATGAGACTAAAAACCACCACCTACTTTGTGATAGTATGGTGCTAGTGATGGTTAGTTTAAGAAATTTGCTTGTAAACATTACATCTTGTTTTGCTGAACTGTAATAGCTAAGACCAGATCACCAGTTGTTGTAGGTTTATTTTCATTTATTTGAGAATTAAGGAGTTTCAGAAGACTTTCTGATGAAGGAAAGGAGGACATCAAAACCATTATGCTAGACAACAATGTCCAGTCCACCAAGACTTAGAACAAACTCCTCCTTTTCCCTTCCAAAAAAAAAAGTGAAACATGAAGAGAGGAAAACAGACTCTTTAGTCTTAATTGGCATCCATACTTGGAGCTCAGCAATGAATCAGGAAGAAGGAAAAAGAAGCAAAAAGAGACTAAAGAAAAACATACAATTAAAGAATCTAATACAAAAATTGGAATCCTACCAAGACCTAGTTTACATCAGACACAGTATTTTTTTCTACTTGTATTTTTATTCATCCTAAACTTGATATAATTGGGTGCTATCTCATAAATCTTTAACAACCGTTAATAAACCAGCTGAAGAAAACCTTTTAGTTCTTATTACAAGTGAATGTGCTAGGTGCTAAACAAGTTAGGTGAAATATATAATCCCCTGCCTGCCCTTACAAAGGCTACTGTCTAGCTGTGTAGAGTGTCACAAAAAGGATAAAATAGACATCAAGTACTGAAAATTTCAAAATGAGAGCTTAAACATTAAACCAAAGCTCAAAAACCAAGCCTTATTCCATTCCACTGTTTCCTTGTCTTGCAATGTACTTGAGTAAGTATTTTTTCTTTCAAGTCTCCCTCCTCCTCCCTCACACCATCTCCGGTAGTGGGAGAGAGCGATGAGACACAGAGATGAAAGGAGAGCAGGAGAAAGAGGGGGAGGAGGAGGGAGGGAAGGAGAGAGGGAAGGGGAGGAAGGCGGAGAAAAGAAGAGGAGGAGGAGGAGGAGGAGAAGGGAGGAACAAGAGGGGAGAGGAAGAAAGAGAGGGAGGGAGAGAATATCCTTAGATCTGTAAGATGTAAGGCAATAAGCATTTGGGATAATTACTTATGAGCGCTGTTGTTTTGCCCAAATTGAAGTCTATAGTTAGCAATGCTCCCTGAGCTGCCCTTCATTTTCACAGAGGAACAAAGCTAGGTCCAAATTTTCCCCAGTTCAATAGCAAGTCAAAGCTCAAAACCACATTTTCCCCTCCTGATGCAGTGTTTTGTTTTCCCGCACTGAATAGTGTATAATCCAAAACGATTATTGACTCAGAGAAAAAGCTGAAACTATATTCTAATTCTTGACACATTTTACTAAATGAGGGAAATGTTTCTTCTTCCTTAAAAAAAAAAATTAAACATTTTTGTAGATGTGAAAATGAGGGGAAGGAGTAATTCTACTTCTTAGAGTGGACAAGGTGACTAATCCCTTAGGCACTATAGTGCTACGCCGTGTTTTCTATAACGGTGTTGAAATACAGTCCAATCTGGCAGAGACAACTCGTTAAGCCACTAGTAAGTAAGAGGGTTAATTAAGCAGGGGTTAATTACAATTATAAATTGAGCGCAGGTGGCAAGGAAGTGAGGCAGCCCAACGGATGCACCTGGCCAGAGGGAAGAGGCTCACTGAGGTGAAAAGCTGCAAAACACAGGTCCCCTTCACAATATCACCCGGAGCAAGACCTAAGGTAACCTTCCTGCGTTCTCCACTCCAGGCGCCAAGTTCGCACGCTTGCAGGCATTCTATTGATTCACACTCGCGTCCTTCAACAGGTAGCGCCAATTACAGCCCCTAAAGCATGGCGCCGCGGTGTACTGGCCAATACCGCCTTCAATCAAACACCTGCTTTTCTAAATTCTCCCCGCCCCCTTTCTTTGGCTTTTCCTCCAGCCTATCCCCAAATTCCTACCGCGCCTCGGGACCGCAGGATTGGCGGCGAGGCGGCTCCTGCTCTTGGTCGCCCCGCCCTCTTCAGCGCCCGCGCGCTCCGCCGGCGAGGGGCGGGAGCGCGAGGTCCGGGGGCGGGGCCTGCCTCCCACGGCGGGGGCGGAGCCTGTGGTGGAGCCCGCCCGCTCGGTTAGGACCTCGGAGAGCGCCCGGCGCCGCGACCAGAGACCGGAGAAGCGAAGCGGCGGGAGCCGGGCGCACCCACGCCTGCGAGCCCGCCGCCCTCCGCGCCCTTCGCTTCCCGGGCTGCAGGCGGCTAGCGGCGTCTGAGGAAGGCGCCTAAGTCCGGGGTCCGTAGTGGTTCGTCTGGGACGCGGCGGCAGCCGTCCAGCCGCGGTTCGCTCCACTGCGTGCGTGTGTGTGAGCGCCCGCGCGAGGGTCTGTGAGGGCGCGCGTGTGCGTGTGCGCGCGTGTGCGCTCGGCCGGGCG